ATAGAATAAGGCATGACATTTATGGATGCACCTAAATCAAGCATGGCATGTTCAAAACGATTATGTCCAATCACACAAGGAATCGTGAAACTACCGGGGTCTTTGCACTTGGTAGGCAGTTTACGTTGCAAAACAGCGGACACATTCTCGCTTACCTTCACTACCTCTTTGTTTGCCCTTCTTCTCTTTGTATTGCATAGGTCCTTGAGGAATTTAGCATACTTTGGAACCTGTTTGATTGCATCGAGAAGCGGTATGTTCACTTGCACCTTCCGGAACGTTTCAAGAATGTCCTTCTCGCTTTCTTCCTTTTTTTCTTGCATGAACCTGCGAGGAAAAGGTACATTGGGCAGATTAGGACGTGAAGTACATGAATTTGAACTTAAATTACCTGATTTGGCCGAGTTAGGGTGATTGGGGGCCTGCGGCATTGGGTTTTTCACCCTTACCGTGGGTGAGCTAGACACTTCCTCAGGTTGTGTCGTCTCTTCATCTACTTTCTGGGCAGATTTGGGATTGTTTGGCTCGGTCCCAACTTCTTTTCCACCCCTTAAGGTGATGGCCTTGGCGGATTCGAATCCTCCCTTTGGATTGACTGTGGTTGAGCTAGGAAGCTTTCCTTGCTCTCTAATCTGTCCAAGGAACTCAGAAATCTGCCCTATTTGTTTCTTCATATCCATCATCTCCTTCTCGTTATTTGCTATCCGGTTGTTTTGATTTTGCAACCCCTGCGAAATAGAGGTTAGTAATTGCATAGCTTGATCACTTTCCAAGGACGTACCTGAATGAGATGATGCCGAAGGTTGTTGGGGTTGTTGGGGTGCATACGGCTTGGAATAAAAACCAGGGGGGTTTGGCCTAAATCCTCCTTGTTGGGCAGCTTGTTGTGGCTCCCTCCATTTGAAGTTTGGATGGTCCCTCCATCCGGCATTGTAAGTGTTCGAGTATGGGTTGTTTTGATTTTGTCCTTGGAAACCAATTGCATTGGCAGATTCCCACCCACCATTCTCGATTAGTTGAGGGCACTTGTCGGATGGATGCCCTTGAATTGAGCACACGTCACAGACTTGGTGTTCTTGTGCTTTTGGACCAATCACAACCTGAGAAACAAGAGAAGTAAGATTAGCAAGTTGTGATTGAATTTCAGAAATAACACTCACCTCATTTATACTTTGTTGCCGTGGGGCTTCCCTTTGGCCCACTCCTTCATATTGTTGAGCGTTGAGCGCTCGGTTGGCTATGAGAACCTTGGCATCCCTTGGTGTTTTGTCCACCAATGCTCCTCCCGCTGATGCATCAAGCATTTGACGTTCGATAGGAAGGAGGCCCTCATAGAAATATTGAAGGAGAAGTTCCTCCTTCATTTGATGTTGAGGACATGAAGCTACAAGGCCCTTGAAGCGCTCATAATAAGCCGGGAATGTCTCACCATGATTCTGTTGAATACCACTAATTTTCTTCCGTAGGAGAATCACTCTCGAAGTAGGGAAGAATTTCTCCAAGAAAGCACGCTTCATACTCTCCCACGAAGTCACAGTTTCCGGGGCTAGTTCGTAGAGCCAATCTTTGGCCTTGTCCATAAGTGAAAATGGAAAGGCCTTCATCTTCAATATACTCCCATCCACAGTGACGGGGGTCATGCTCGAACAAACCACCTCGAACTCCTTCAAGTGTTTGTTGGGGTCTTCCATAGACAAGCCATGGAACTTCGGAATATGGTGTAACAAACTGGATTTGAGTTCAAACACCTCAGTCTTCCCCTCTGCAGCCGTGGGGTATTGGATACAAAGAGGCAATGCATTATCCAAACCCGAGGCCGAAAGCTCCTTGATGGTTCTATTATCTGCTGCCATGGCTTGTTCTTCTTCAAAAATCTGATCCGTGGGCTTTTCTTCTACACCTACTTCGTCTTCTTCAAGCCCAGGTTGTGGTGGCTCTTGTTGACTCCTCGTTCTCCTCAAAGTGCGTTCAAAATCACCGTCAAAGTCGGAGATGTTCTCTATAATAGGCCGAGAGCTACGAGTCATACACAGTACCTAAAAAACAAGGAAACAAACAAACTAAGAATCTGAAATAAGAATGCACGAAAAACAAAAAAATATAAAAATGAAGACAAGGGATTAGCAAAGTTGCTAATCCCCGGCAACGGCGCCAAAAATTTGATGCGAGAATTACTTGACACTCAAATTAAACCCTCGTTTGACAATTGTAGTAGAATGGATAAGTGAGGGATCGTTCTAGACCGGGGATTAGGAGGGCTTGCTAAAACCTTCTAAATTGACTTAAAAACATAAAAACTAAATTAAAACAGATTTAAGACACTTGGGAACAAGGAAATAAAAAAGGGGTTTTAGTTTTGACGAAGTTGAAATAAACAAACAAAATGCAAAAATGGACAGATTGTAAACAAGTGTTGTGAAACAAGATGGTTGGTGAATTAGCTAGAGGTTCTTTCTCCACACATGATATTTATGCATATGAATCAATTTCCAGTTATTCCTTCATTGAATTATGAACGACAATGCCCCAAATTAACCGTGACATCACTAGTTAATCCTCAGATTTTCCTTATATTATTGGATTGGATGGCATCATTCGACAACCCAAAACATTCTCAAAAGTTCCCTACATGTCATCATAATAGAGATACAATCGAAGATCATTAAGAATAATGAAAACCATAAGCATTGACAAAGCATTTGCAACTATGACATCATGTTACTCATGCTAAGAATTAAACTTAACGCGATCGTGACAAGCGACCTTCACTACTTTCAAGTATAAGTTAGTAACGATTATGTGAAACCTTCTTAAACTTTAGCCACATATTCATGCATGCTAATTAAGTGTCGACCCTCAATCAACAAACACAAATAAGTTAATCATCAAATAGTTAAGCCAATTGCATTCACGAATCAAGAGTTCATAACCGGAATTCATCAATTCATATCACATAAATAATCATGGTATTGAAATCACCCCTAGCCAAAAAGGGTTTAGTTCCTCATAACTTTGAAATCAAAGAAACACCTAAACATTCCAACAACTCAAACTTGAATTGTATGAACGTTTAGGCACTCTTCTCTTCCATTCCTCATACGTACAAAACAAAGAGAATTAAAATGAAACATTGAAATCAAAGAATCACCTAAACATTCCAACAACTCAAACTTGAATTGTATGAACGTTTAGGCACTCTTCTCTTCCTCGTTGTTGTAGCACAAGGTTTAAGGATAGGTTGTGTGATGGTATGAAGTGTTTTGGAGGGATGGGAAGTGGTTGGATAGTGGCTGCAATGGAGGAGAAAAACTGCACAGAAATGGAAGGGGAAGTGTTTGTGTTGTGTGTTTTGTATGAAAAATGAGATATGCATGAATGAATGAATGCTAGGGTATTTATAGGGGTAGTGGAGGGAACATATGGCTGTTTGTTTAAGCATTTGTGTGGAGGAATGATGGAAAAACAGCTAGGACACATGTGAAAACTGGAATTGCACAAGGGGAGCAAAGGGAACCCACGGCATGGATGGATTTGTGCATGTGTTGGCTGATTAAGATTGTGGAAATGCAAGGGAATGCACGGGTTAGGTTTGAAGAAAAGGTGTGTGAATGGGGTAATTGAATGATTAAAGTGCATGTGGATTTAAAGAATGAGTGGTGGTGTAATGATGAAGTGAATGCATGTGACTTGTGAATACAAAGAGAAGGGGAAAAACTGGAAATGCTCAAGGAGTGCACGGCATTGGGGGGGGGGGAAAATGATGGCATGAAAGTGAAGGGATTAGTGGTGCATGTGCATGTGTTTTAGGTTGTGAAAGCATGTGGATTAGGTGGAAAGAGGTGGATGTGCATGTGAGTTGAAATGCATATGTTTAAATGGTTGAAATGTGTAGATGATTATGAGTATGATAAGTGATAAGTGAATGATATGTTAAGTGATAAATGAATGATATGTGGTGAGTGATAAGTGAATGAAAGTGATAAGTGATAATAGGGCTAGTTTAAAGGGTTAGGGTTTAAGTACATAGAATGGGCCTAAAATAGGTTGGTTTGCATGGCATAATATGTTTGATTGGGCTAGAGGTTTTCCATGGCTCAAAGGATTTGTTTGATTGGGCTAGGCCCTTTGTTTGATGTCCCCAAAGAGCATACAAGGCTTCAATTTCGTCCATCCTCTTTGCTCCATGATTAAGCTATCCAATCCTTGCCCAAAAGTGCCCCAAATAGCCTCAAAATGCACTTTCTTGCTCCCTAAGCCCTTAGAACCTGAAAACACACAAAAGAAGCATAAAGGACTAAAATAACTAGAGAAACATAACGTAAATGCACGAGAACAAGCCATTTAAGTCGCATGAATATGCTTCTATCATATATACCTTTGAAATTGTTAGAGTAAATGTAGAAATATTGAGAATAAACTGAACGATGACCTTGAGGTACAACTTGAATTGCTTCCTTAAAGTGTTATTTGACCTCACTCGAATGAATTTGCTAAAGAGTTCTTGGCAAATTACTTTCAGGATACAATAAAGTATGAAATATTAGATTAGCAAAACCAAATTGTATTCCCTTAGAAATAACTAAAAAGAAATTGTATGAATGCGATGGAGAGAAGAAAGAGCAAGGAAATTGTGCAAACAACAAATTTCTCAATGAAATTTCTCTTCTACCAATTTACCAATATATAGGAGAGATCGCACCCGTTAGACATATCCTTTGATTTTGGATATGCCTTCTCGGCATGAGATACATGCTTTGATTTGTGTATGCCTTCTCACCATAAGATACAATTGAATTAATATTATAGCAATATGTCCAATACGCAAGTTCGATGCAAATACCAAAGGTTACGTCTGTTAGTAAACTGTGCACTAGTCAAATACGCAACTTTTTCCACGCAACAGAAATGAGGATATTATCCTTTTCCTTGCAATACCCACGAAACTTCCAGATTCTTTCGCGAATATATATATACACACACACGCACACACAGCATATGATTGTGCTTCAGCATTCCCATAGGACTGGGTTGTTAGTACTCCCTCCAAAGCTAGGGAAATCGCTTTTCTAGTTGGCTTGTGGTATCTAGTAGTTCATCCTTGAAAGGTGCGTAAATTTTGTAAAATTCACATCGCATTTATAACTAAATATATATATATATAGGGAATTGTTATTAGCACTTCAAAAATCTCATTCTACACTTTAAACTTTCTATATTAGGAAACAAAAATACACTTATGAGGAGTGTAGAATGAGATTTTTAAAGTGTCAATAATATTTTCAAAAAAAAAAAAAAATATATATATATATATATATATATATATAGGCTTATGAAATCAAGAAAATTATAGGAAATTTTAACAAAAAGCTCCCAATACTTTTCACTTTAACGAAAAATCATATTTTTATACTAAAAAGTCAATCATGATACTATTCACTTTATCATTTATTTTGTCCTTATCGTTAAAACTCAAAGTTTTCAAGTCATTTTCATTAATTTTCCTAAAATTCATTAGAAACAAATAACAAGTTAAAAAAATAAAAAATAAACCTGTAAGTGAGGTTTACACAAAAACAACAAAATTTTGTTTTGTGAAATCACGTTACTACCTTTAGCTTTTTAATTATGATATATGACTAAATAGTCTTTTCATCATCTTGTAATTTACAAAAAAAAATCTATTAATATGTAATTTAAATATTACTTCTTGCTTTAATTAATTGTCCTAACTGCATGGTCCAAATGCTTGGAGATAATTCTACAAGCTGCATGGATTGTTTCAAGCCAGTCAAAGTACCCACGCATTCTATTTTTCTCCTGCAACACACCTATGCTTAATCTTCTTTGTTATTATTTGTTTTTTTATATGATGACAAAAAAGTTATAAAAAAAAAAAAATTGTTGTGAGAGCGGAAAACAAATGGAAAATAATTATCATTTCTCCTCGTCTTGACATATCGTTAATTTTTTCGTGTTTCTAAATTGTTGAATTTAAAGCGTTTTTTTTAAGTATAAATTTATCGAAGTCTTACGTGTGAAAAAAAATAATTTTTTTATATGAAGTTATGACATATATTTTGACATCGTTTCAAGCCTCAAAAATCTCAAGACTAACCCCAATTACATGGCCTTGTTTTTGGGATTTTTTTAGATATTTCGGAATATGAAATATTCCAAATATTTTAACCCTTATATCTTATTTAAAAATACAAAAAATTATCTAAAGGTTAAGCTACCCAGAGTATGACTCTGGAACCGTAATTTTGCTTCACGTCATATTATTAAAAAACAACTCTAACATTAATATTTTGATACATAGAGGAAGGTAGTACAGGACATCCGATTCGATCGATCGATCATGTCAGAAAATGGTTCAACAGACGTTGTAGGGTCGTCTTCGACCCATCCGGAGGAATCTTCACAAGAAATTGAAGGGAGCACTACAATTGTAAGCTTTGAAGGCTACACTTTTCCAACGAACAAGGGGAGAGGTCGCCATCCATTACCACCTGGCCTCGGAACACCAGTTGTAGCAATCGTACGTAGTCCGAATCTGTCAATTTATAGCCCTCCACGACCTTATAGACCTCCACTGTCTCCAGATCACAGACCAGGGGATGAAAATGCTTCAGGATTTACACATATATTTGATCAAGGAAGAAAAGAAAGGCGTGATGATGCTAAAGAAACAGAAAGTAAGCGTGATGCCATCACTACGTCTTGAGTTATTTTTATTTAATACAGGCACAACTTTTTTTAAAATTTTGATTGACTTTTTTGTTCCTTTTGCTTTTCTTTAATTTTATGGGTTTTTTTTTTTGTTTTTTTTGTTTTTTTTTTTTTAAGGAGGGAGTAGTTGGCTGCCGAGCAAATTTCTTGAATGGGGAAGGAGTCGAATGCATTTCTATTATGCTACAGTAACAACAAATGGGCGCGAGCCAAGTGACGTTGCTGCAGCTTCCACTCCACCAGCAGCACCTACACCAAATTCAAATACCATTTCATGTATGTGTCTCCTTCCACTGCATCACTTATGCCTTATGCATATTTTCTCTTCATTGTTGATCACATCTCTAATACAGATGAGACTCACGTACAGAGGTGGACTAAGTGGTTCAACTCTATTAAGAGGTGCCAGATAATCAATATATATGGTACAAATTGTTAAAGAATAGTAACAAAACTCAAATAATCGTTATTTACTGAAGAAAAGGGAAAAAGAAACTCACATACCAAATTGTGTGTTATATACATTACTGCTTGTATATCCTTTCTCATTGTTTAATTAATTACTGATTATTGTTTGATTAAATAATCTTTCCAGCGTTGCCAATTAACGCCAACCTAGTTCCCTATGTCCCACTACATCTTGCTGCTCTCAATGGTGACTGGATTGCTGCAAACAATTTCTTGCTATCAAATCCTGAAGCTGCGAGGGCTAAGATCACAAAGGGTTCGGAAACTGCTCTCCACATTGCTGCCGGGGCCAAACATACATGGTTTGTTGAGGAGCTAGTTAAATGGATGATACCGCCTGACCTAGAACTGAAGAATGATGTTGGAAACACTGCCCTCTTTTTTGCTGCTGTTTCCGGTGTCAAAAGGATCGCCGAGATAATGGTGGATAAGAATCCGAAGTTACCCCAAATCAGATGTAGTAAAGATTCAACACCTCTTCATATGGCTACTTTGTTTGGGCACAGGGAGATGGTATGGTATCTTTACGACAAGACTGATACAATTTTGAAGGACTCCGACCGTGTGGGGCTTCTTATTGCCGCAATAACAGCAGATCTTTATGGTAAGTAAGTACCGTTTCGATTTACATTTTCATCCTCAAGACTTATGATCAAGTCCAAGTACACAATTATAATATGATTAGGTCCAAAAACATGATCATACATGTAGGTATACCTTAAAATAATTTATCTGTGAGAATGTATCCTACATGTAAGTTTGTACACGTAACAATATATTATGATCCCCTATGTACCTGAATTCGAATTCTTCTCTCCGCATTCCTGCAGTTTATATTAGTTTTAAGTAGAATACCGCTCCTATAAAATGAGGTATATTTTTTTTTTTTGGAAAAATTAGGTTCACATCCTTCTTTTTGTTACTTCATTGATTAAAATCATATTTATTTTCAATTTTTGATCAAGGTCCCTGGGTATTAATAACATCATTAATTATTTGAATAATCAAATATTTTTATTTTTAAATATATTCCTTTAGTGTGAAAAATGTTACAATTAGTATATTTATATTTATGGCTAAATTTTTTATCATATATTTTTATTTTTAGTTTGTACCTATTTTTAATTTGCAAATATTTTTTAATTTGTACCAATTTTCTTTTCATTTTTAATTTGTACCCATATATTAGTTTCTTTTTGTGCCCATATTTTTTAAAGTTTTATTTGTGTCACATCCCGGCCCGGGGTGGATCACTTCCCGGGCCCGCTCCACCACCGTAGCACGATATTGTCCGCTTTGGGCCTACCATTCCCTCACGGTTTTGTTTTTGGGAACTCACGAGCAACTTCCCAGTGGGTCACCCATCCTGGGAGTGCTCTAGCCCCTTTCTCGCTTAACTTCAGAGTTCCTACGGAACCCGAAGCCAGTGAGCTCCCAAAAGGCCTCGTGCTAGGTAGGGATGAGAATATATATTTAAGGATCACTCCCATGGGCGATGTGGGATGTCACAATCCACCCCCCTTAGGGGCCCGACGTCCTCGTCAGCACACCACGGCCAGGGTTAGGCTCTGATACCAAATTGTCACATCCCGGCCCGGGGGGACCACTTCCCGGGCCCGCTCCACCACCGTAGCACGATATTGTCCGCTTTGGGCCCCGACCACGCCCTCACGGTTTTGCTTTTGGGAGCTCACTGGCTTCGGGTTCCGTAGGAACTCCGAAGTTAAGCGAGAAGGGGGCTTGAGCACTCCCAGGATGGGTGACCCACTGGGAAGTTGCTCGTGAGTTCCCAAAAACAAAACCGTGAGGGCGTGGTCGGGGCCCAAAGCGGACAATATCGTGCTACGGTGGTGGAGCGGGCCCGGGAAGTGGTCCCCCCCCGGGCCGGGATGTGACAATTTGTGTTTGTACTCATGATGTGTACATCGTCACGTGACATTGTATATTTAATCAATGATAGAAAAATTACGTATGGTATATTTATGTAGAAAAATTACGTATGGTATATTTATGTTTTATGCCTAAACTTTGTATCATATATTTATATTTTTAGTTTGTAACATGTTTTTTAAATTTGTAGTATTTTCTTTTTAGTTTTATTTTGTACCCATGTATTAATTTCTTTTAGCGCCTATATTTTTAAAAATTCATTTGTACTCATATTTTTTAATCTTTTATCTGTACCCTAATTTATTTATAATATACCCATTCTTCTTTATTAATGTACCACTTTGTTATATGTGAAATGTACCCATTTTTTTAACACTATGGATACATTCTTTTGCCATTTATTATTTCTTATTTTTACATAGTTTTTATCCATTTATTCAATCAAAATGTTTGAATTTTTTTTTTTATTGTAACCGTTTCTAATAGTATTATAATGAGGGATTTTAAATTTATAGGATTATAAATCTCACAAAATATCAAACAATTAATGTCAAAACTATAAAAATAAAAATATTAATAGCAATATAATGAGGTGTACAAAGTCAAGGGACCTTGATCAAACTTTGAATACTATTAAGATTTTAATCAAAGAATGTTAAGGATTAGGGACCACATCCAAAATATTCCTTCTTTTTTTTTATCAAAATGAGGTATATATTGTAATCAAATTGTCTAGCTAAAATTTGTCTGTATATACACATATATTATGAAAATTATTAATTTCATGATATAATTAACTACAGATCTTGCACTGGATATAATTCAAAAGCACCCTGAAATGGCTTTTGCTCGAGATGAAAATCGAGAGACTGCACTTCATGTGATGGCACGAAAACATTCAGCGTATTATAGTGGACGCCAACCGGGTTTTGCGCAACCATGCATATCTTCAGGTTAGGGTTTAGGGTTTAACATGTCATATTTTAACTCAACTCCTTTGCTTAACATGTTAATTTGCTGTTTTATGCAGTTCCTCGTATCAAGGTTTGCTACAACAAAATAGTAATGCAGACGCAAGCCACTGAGCTTGTGAAGCACTTGTGGAAGAAAGTACTTACTTTAGAAAATGATTCAAAAATTAGCGATTTAATCAGAGCACCCTCTCGCTTATTGTTCAGTGCTGCTGAGTTGGGGAACGTTGACTTCCTGGTCATACTTATAAGAACATACCCTAATCTTATTTGGAAAGTTGATGAACAAAATAGAACCATATTTCACACTGCAGTTGTTCACCGGCAGGAGAAGGTTTTCAATCTCATACATGAATTAGGTGGACTAAAAGATTTAATTGCATCTTACAAAGATGAAGACAATAACAATATGCTCCATTTGGCCGCCAAACTTGCACCGGATGATCGATTAAATACTGATACGGGAGCAGCATTGCAATTCAGAAGAGAGTTACAATGGTTTAAGGTAAGATTTTTCCCTCAATAAACATAGATTTACTGTTTATAATCTTCCTAATCTATGTTGACTAAAATCTTTAGGGTAATTGCAATGAAATGATCTGAAATGAGGATAAAATTTCTCAATTTAATTGAGAGAGTAGTCATTTCTTGAGTCGTGACCTAGAGCAAGTGTTTTGCCATTTTGGGGTAAAGGATTCATAGGCTTGAAAAGTTAAAGGTTATAGGTGTTTACTAACTAGATCTTGATCCAATGGTATTTTTCTGCTTAATGCCTCTGATGGCCGGTTGTGCCACATGAGCGGAATATCTAAAGTTCAAATCCCCGTCTCAAATTGATAAGAAAAAAGTGTCTTCTTGTTTACACATGATTTTTATTACTACTAACAATGTTTGTCATTTTACTTTGTTCAATACTTCTAATTAGACTAATTGAGATCACACGTGCATAAAATTTTAGGAAGTGGAGAAGATCGTCCAACCATTGTACAAGGAAATGAGAAACTCAGATGGAAAAACACCTCAAGTCCTATTCACTGAAGAGCACAAGGACTTGTTACGAGAAGGAGAAAAGTGGATGAAGGGCACTGCATCATCGTGCATGCTTGTAGCAACGCTCATTGCCACCGTAATGTTTGCCGTTTTCTCCACAGTACCGGGTGGAAACAACGACGACACAGGCATTCCGATTTTTCTCCACTCAAGGGCCTTTATGGTTTTCACCATATCAGACGCACTCTCCCTCGTCTCCTCCACCACATCAATCTTGAGTTTCCTGTCCATTCTTACATCACGTTATGCCGAAGGAGATTTCCTCCATTCACTACCGAATCGGTTAATTGTAGGACTGGCAACCCTTTTCATCTCTATAGTTACCATGATGATCACGTTCGTAGCGTCGCTATACATCGTTCTAGGCCATGGATATCAGACGATCAAAGTTGCAATAGCTTTGGCTGCGGGCGTTCCTGTTAGTTTCTATGCTCTGTTACAGTTTCCTCTTCTTGGAGATATGATCAGTCATGCTTATATTTCAAGGGTATCCTTTCGTCCCATGGGAACACTCAACTAATTGTCCAAGGCCAACTGGAAAGTTATGAAGTTTACGCTTTGTAAAATTATTATATTTTCAAGTGGGTTGGATAAATTTTAGGGTGATTTTGTATAAAATGAATAAAAAGTTAACAGTATTAACAATACATCAACAATAGTTATGTTTATTATAAGTAAGTCAATCATGTAATTCCTTTTTCATCATTTTTCTATTTTGGTATAAGTCAACACGAATCTGACACTACAATGCCGTGTCCATTTCTTGGTTTGGTTTTTCCACCACTCACACATCCTACGTGACCGTTTTTATATTTAAATTTAGACACTACAATACAATATCCATTTCTTGGTAATGTTTTTACTTTTGAATTCAGACATTGCATTATAGTATCCATTTCCTAATTCGTTTTTTCACCACTCACACGCCTCCTACGTGTAGGGCCTTCATATCTTTCAAAATAAATAGTTTTTACTTTTCTATGTATATATTATGTCTTGCATTCTTTTATTAGTTTTGAAACTATAACCGAGTATATCTTAACACTACAGCTTTCTATAAAGTGGTTCCAATAATATAGTTTCATATATAATGCTCTTACACTATCTTTTACTAATTTTTGTTACACTATCAATCACTCACAGGTCATTTTATTCATACAGTGGTTCAAAGAATTCCAAAATCTTCATCCATCCAATTTCTGCTTTTCATATATAAATTCTTTAAAAAAGCTCAAACGTCTTTCAGCGTAAATACACGTGAACCTTCTTTAATAATCTCTAATAGCTTCGATTTTTTTTTTTTTTGAACAGTTACTAACCCCGCAGCAACGCGTGGGTCATATTTCTAATTAATTACTAGATGTGAAACAACGTTTATAACCCTAATTCTTGACTAAGAAAGATTACTTAGAAGAAAATTAGTCCCAACGAACCAAATTTGCCTTTAAGGATAAAGAAGTCTCCAAACGTGGGTTGGCACTTCAGCCCTCAAAGCTCGAGCAATCAAGCAAAGCAATTCCGGCACGATTTAATTTGAAGAGTTAAATAAACACAATGTACAGAACTGAAAACAAGACAGGCTAGACTTTGAGAATGCGTTCACAGGCACACAGATAGAAAACTGAAGTTAAAACTATTTATAATGGCATACAACAGCCCATGTGACGTTTCTCATTTGACCCATGTCTAACTAAAATATATATATCATATATACTAAAACCCGTAGGGGTTGGGTACTGTGGATGACCAGTGTCCGGACGGAACTGCCCTCGCTTCTCTGTTTTCTTTCCGTTTGTGTCCCTGTTTTCCACGAGGCGCTCAACTTATTCTCTCGACTTTGAGAGTCATCTTGAGTTAGGGTTTTGTTCCTTCGTTGCTTTTCTTGATTTCGGCTTTTGCTCTTTTCGTTTTGGCTGTTCTTTCTTCCAATCCTCTGTTTCCTGTGATAACCGTGCTTTCTTTCGCGGAAATCATATATACTAAAACATTTTTGTCCGGTTCCTTTTCTTTCCTGTTTTGTACAGTGATTCCTTTTCACTGCTTTTGGTCCATTTTTTTTCCCATTTCTTTTGCTTCTCTTCTTTCGTAGCCGTCTGCTCTCTCCTCTCTTCGCCTCTGTTGGTCTCAAAGTGGATGGTTTTGTGGTGAGTTCGTCTAATCTTGCATCTGCAACTTTTTTATGCAACTGTATGGATTGTGTTCTGTTCAATTTTAGATGTTAGAAGCTTTTAATTTTTTTTGGGTTGTTGCTTTCGGAGTTTTCCTTTGATGACAGAGATGGGGTTTTTGGGGAGAAACTTTTAATCCGTGAGCTTTTTAGTTAGGTTGTGTTGTGGGTCTTGACAAATGGATTTTCTGTTGAAATTGTTTCTCTTCTCATTTTTGTTTTTTTTTGTTTTTTTTTTTTTGTTTTTGTTTTTTTTTTTTGTGCCATCGGGTTTTGCATGTGGGTGTATAATCATGTTTTCTTTTGAATTTCAGGGGATTCAGGTTTTTATTTTTCTGGAACTTTTGTCTGCAGCTTTGGAAGACATTTGTGCTTAAGGTGAGAAACTTTGGTTGCTTGCTTTTGGGTTTTGTTGTAGAATTATTATTTTTTTATTTTTTTTATTTTTTAAGAGTTACATTCGTGGGAATTCATTTGGTCTTCTTTTTTCCTGCATCTGAAAAATGCCACATGATGTGAGTTTATAATTAAATATGAATATCAAAATGGGTTTTCTGTGCAAATTTTCTTTCTGATTTTATAGAACCGAAGAGGATGTTAACAATAACATTGTGTGATATGCGATCTAAAGTTCTTTGGTGAGTTATTTGGTTTTCTTGCCACATGGGATTTTAATACTTTTTTTTTCGTGGTTTGTGTGTGGTTTTCTGATGTGTTTTTATTTTTAATTTCAGAAAAAGTTAAGGATACGATCAAACGTTTACTGATGAATTTTCTATTTTTCTGATTGTGTGTGATTTAATTTTTTTCAAGCTTTGGGTATACTTTTCTGATCTGCTTTGATTTTTAGTTGCAGCAAAAGTTGTTGCTCGAATTTTCCAGTTTTTATCTGCGGCTTTGCAAGCTCTTTATCAACAAGGTATATCATTTTTATTCTTTTTCCTGAATCTTTTGTTGGATGGAATCGTTTTTTGTTTTTGGTGAGTTCTTCTAATCTCGCATCTGGTACTGTATTTTTTTTTCCGACTGTATAGATTGTGTTTTGTTGAATTTTAAATGGTAGAAGCTTCTTGGGTTCAATTTAAATGTGTTGTTATCAACTCTTGAATTGCTTTCGAAGTTGTTTGGCTACTCCCTTAACGCCCTTTTTCCTTTTCTTTTCCGCTTCTTCGATTTGCAGCCCCCTTCTTTTTATTCCTTTTCCAGATTTAGCTTTTTTCCCCTATTTTGTATCTTTTGGCTGATTTTGTGGATCTTGGTCAGTGCTGTGGGTATTGGTGAATTTCTAGCATGTTTAAGCGTGCAGTTTTTGTTATAATGTATGGATTGTGTTTTGTTCAATTTTAAATCTCAGAAGCTTTTAATTTTTTTTTTTGGGTTCAATTTTAAATGGGTTGTTATCAAGCATTGAATTGCTTTTGGAGTATTCATTTGATAAGAGAGATGGGGAGGGGGGGGTTCTTTTGGGTGAAACTTTTGGTCCGTGAGATTTTTAGTTAGGTTGTGTTGTGGGTTTTCGCAAATTTCTATCGTGTTTATGTGTGCATTTTTTTGTTATAGATTTGGAAGAACATAGCATTACAGGGTGTTGAGGGTTTGCTGGTGGGGGAAAGTAGTAGCGTTAAGATTTTGCAGGTGAGATATTAGGGTGAGAGAAAAACGGGACAAAGAGCATTGAAGACACATTTGGGATTAGGGGTAGCAAAACAGGGGAAAAGAATATGACAGAGGAATGGACTCTTAATTTTTTCTTGACTGGTTTGGGATTTTGCTTGCCTTTGGGGTTGTCATTGGCGTCAAGCCATTTGATGTCAAGTGGTGTCTGTTTTTTCATAACTTTTATTACTAATTTTTATGTCATTTGCGATTTTGTGTCCTGGGATTTCTGAATTTTATCGTTCATTGTCGGTTTTTAAAACTTTTTTTGTCTTCATATGTTTGTTTAATATGCTGTGTTTGTGTTGGGACGCCGTTTTGCAAGTTCTCTTTCCATTTGGGACCACTACATTTTATAAGTGATGAGGGTGAGGTTTAGATACTCAAAACACTCCATTTTTTTCCAAATATGCGCGTTTGGTTCTCTTTGGTTTTAAGTGTTTAAAATTAAATGGTTATTTTGATAAAATGGTTTATTAGTTTGTCTAATGTGTTGTGATCAGGAATTCAATTGGATTGGGTAAAATGCTTTATCAATTTACGTTATAGGGAATTTTGTGTATTATGGTCTGTGAGTTTTATTGCTCATCGTTTGTTCCTTTTTCTTTGTTTGCCGATTTCTTTTGCAGGGGATCACTATAAAATTGCTTGAGGGTAAGATTTTGATAATAAAATTCGAAACGAGGCGTTACTTTTCTTTTTAGAAACTAATTTAAAAGCTCTGCATAGATAGTTAACTGTGTTGAAATGTCTTGATAAAACGTGAACCTTTTGTTATATGTGAATGTTCATTCCTTACTACAAATATAATAGGCATAGTGGTCTAAAAAATTAAAACCCACTGACACATGACATCAGAAATTCAAACAAATTTCTACTGTTACCATTACCTTCTTTCATTCAGATCATCAACATGTAGTTCAAATCTAGATCAAACCTAGATGAAATTCAGGTGACATTATTTATTGTCATTTTTTCAATAATTTACATTGTTTTAGTACCCAGGTTTACAGCATGAGCTGAAGATCCAAGATCATTTTGGCAGAGACTTAGATATTGAAGACACTAATTTTGCTCCTTATTTTATAGTTTAATGTCCTACTTTTTACATGTTTTATACACTTATAACACCCGCAGCAACGCGCGGGCACTATGACTAGTATATCACTAAAAGTCGAAAACAAAAAAATGCCACTGATATTAGTTAAATAGTAAAAAATTTATTTAATTCAGCTAAATTACCTTAATTGTTTTTTTTTTCTTAGTCTATGGTTAATGCCGGTTTTTATTTTATTTTATTTTATTTTTAATACATCAATATTTTTCCATTAAGGCGGGGGAGGAAGTTTAGCTAAATTACATAATGAGCAGCCTAATTTCATATCAAATTTGCCATCACAAGATTTAAACCTAAAATCTCACTTTAAATGAAGAAGAATACCATTAAACAAACTAAAACTTCATTTCCATAATCCACGCAAAGAAAAAAGCAAATGCATTAAACTTCTTTGTGCAAATACCAAGTAGTCCTACAAAATAAGAGAAAAATGGGAATTTACTCCTTAATGACACAAATGGAAGTCAAGGGGCGATGATGCGATGCCGTCCCCTTATGCCTTGCTGTCTACGATCATGGGTTCGGCGTCTTTATCCGCTGCTTTCTGCAAAAGCCAAAAAAATGAACCACCAATCAAAACCAAACGATAAAAACCCAGAACGTATGAGAAAACACCAGTCGACGACCGGAAGGATGCTTACATTGTTATCGGGAGAGTCCGACTTGGTCAATTTGGCAAACATGTTGCCATAGAACTTGGCCTCCTTTTTATTGTATTCTTTCATCTTCTCCTTCAATGTCTTGTGCTCCAGCTTCACATCCCTGTTTTGACAAAGAAACGAGTGTTAACATTTTCACTTCCCTGCAAAACTGTGCGAGTGGAAACAAGGATCCAGAGAAGAAGCACATACCTGTTGTTAGGGTCTATTTCAAGAGCTTTCTTGATGTCAAGCTCAGCTAAATCCAAATCTGCAAGCTGAATATATGCCTGAGCCCTTCTGTACAGAGCCTTCACATTTCTGCCCTCAAGTTCCAACACCTGTGTACAATTAGATGTTCGGTTAAATAAAAGTCGACAATAAAAAGGGACCTCTCAAGCATTTCTTAGTTCTAAATTGCAGACCTTGGAACACAATTTTTCAGCCTGTTTATATTCTTTCAGCTTCAGCTTGCAAGCTGCATCGTTAAGATTGCAGGCAACCTTCAACACCTTGGCTTGTTTTTTTGCTTCTTCACTGAAGCTAGAGTCATAGTCGATGTACTTCACAGCCTGCATTGAAGAAACTACGCTTCAGTAAGCATAAAAGCAAAGGCCAAACCATCGGGCTTCACGAGTCCATATGTTTGTCATCCTACCTTCTCGTATCTCTTGGAAGCTCTTACATATTTACCCGCCTTAAACAAAGCATTCCCTTCTTCCTTCTTCTTACCAGCAGCTTCAATTTTTTCCTCAGTATTCATGTCCCACGATTCCTTATCCTGAAGGGTCGAAAAGAATTAAAAAATTGTTTGAAAACAAAACACACAATCTCACTAATTTGATACCAACGGGATACATGATGCAATGTAAACTAAGCGGCATTATTGACGCACCTTCTCAAAAGATGCAAGCTCAACCTCATAGTTGACAGTTGAGTTGGGAGGCACCACAGCCAACTCCTGCTGGGACTCCAACGAGCCAAATGCATACTCTGGTGCAATGGTCAGGAGTGCTACCTCACCCTTCTTCATTGTCAGTACAGCTCTATCAAGCCCATCAATCACTTGCTCTGTCCAGTACAGCAATGGCTCAGCAGCACTGAAGGCCAAAAACACAAAGAAACGTAAACAAAAGCGCAAGTATTATTACCTTCATCTGTTTTAAACTCAAACAGGTCTTCTCCTTCGGCATGACCTTTCTTCAAAAATTCCTTCCCATCTTGCAGCTTCCCAATCAATTTCACTGCCAGTCACAAAATCAAATAATAATTAATAACATCCAAATGTGCTAAAGATTTCACAGTCTCATCCCATATTAATGAACAAACACTTACATTTAACAACAGCCCCTTCATTTGGACGCTCATACCCCTCCCCTTCTTTCAGGATCTTCTTAATAACCTTCTTGTCATCTGTCACTTCAGATACAGTTCTCCATGATACCAACTCTAAAGTGATATGCAGAGTTGTATTTGGAGGAACTACACCCTCGGAACCAGATGCAGGTTTGCCTTGATCCCCAAATCCATCTGCAACCACACACAAGTAGAAATACATATTTAATTATTGTTATTTTCAAATTTCAAATAAAATTAGACTGGTGGCTCAAGGCAGCTTACATTGTGGTTTAACCGTTAACAATACCTTCTCCCCCTTCTTCATTGTTTTAACAGCCTTTGAAATTGCAGGACAGAAGTAACCTAATTACATTAATTAGAAGATTACCAGTTAGTTAAAAACCAAAATTCTCTACAAAATTAATGAACTGATATATGACAAGCGAAAGGATACCGTCTTTGACAGTGAATTCCACATCTTGAGATTTTGCAACAAGTGTTTTATCTTCAAGCTGCACCTCAAAATTAACTGCATAACAAACAGGGAGGGAAGGAAGTTAACAGGCAAAGGCGACAGATAGTGCACAAGCAAACAATAACACACGTCGAAGAGAAACTTTTACCTATAACTTCGTCGAGGTCTTTTGGGTTCTCCCATTTTTCTCCCTCTTTCAAGATCTTCTTGATTACACCACCATCCTTGGATATGTCATTGACACTGGTCCACGATAGCAATTCAACATCGAATTGCAATGTGGCACTGGGAGGGATAGTTGGTGGCGATCCAGACTCTCCATAAGCCAACGCAGGAGGAATGGTGAAAAGGGCATTCTCACCTTTCTTCATTGTTCTAATGCCTTCATCCCATCCTTTAATCACTTGCCCTGCATAGCCACATCACAAAACTCGCTAAGTGAGAGCACTCGCCCGGAAGAAAAATTTAACTACTAAAATTCCCAGTTCAGCAGCACAACAACTAATCTTAACAAGGAACATCATATTCGATATCAATGCAACTACACCAAACACAGTTCCATCTTTTTTAACACAATAAAAAAGAGACAAACTTAACATACGACGGGGATGGCACTGTGTCAGTATCTCAAGCCAATCACGTAATGTCATGTGCTTAGCTTAGGATCCCGCCACAGTCATACTTACAAAAATTGCATCGATACACACTAACAAAGAAATTTAAATACAAAAGCAGTGTATTCGTGCAAAACTAGCCTACCAACTAATCCAAATCAACCAGAAACTTAATCAAGTTCATTAATTTGATCAGATTGAAGCTGAAAAAGGAACAAAAAGCCCTCACCTTGTCCGAGAGTGAACTTGAACGGAGTCCCACTGTCGCGGCTCGAATCGAACTGAGTCCCGTCCAGCAATGTCCCGGTATAATGAACTAAACCCACAAACACCCCAATCAAATAATCAATCCTAATCCAGAACAAATCCCAAAAAATCAAAAATTTCCAAACAAAAAAATGAAAAATAAAAGAGATTAAAGCGCGAACCTTCAACTTCGTCGCCATTATTGGGGGTGTCCCAGCCTTCACCTTCCTTGAGTAGCTTCTTCTTCAAGCCCTGGTGGCCGATCTCCTTCTCCTCGCCGACCTTCAGGACCGGCCCCTCGTCGGGGAGATCGAAGTCCTCGTTCATCTCCTCCACCCCGGGCATATCGAAGTCCTCGTCCATTTTTCTCGAGAGCACGAGATGAAAAATTCAACCGATTCGAAAGCGTAGTTCGAGATTCTGAGATTGAAGAAAATTGGCGAAGAGTGAGAGTGAGGAAGACGAGACTTTTATGGTGTTATTTTTTGGAGTTCTAGAGGCTTCTACAAGGCTTTTGGGCTGCAGAGCGAGGTTTGTGACATGATTTGGTGCTTTGTCGATTTGATGTTAATCGTGCTCCGGGGTTTAACCGACGGCTCAGATTAATGATTCAGCAGAGATCACGTGCCCTTCCATTTATAGAACTTGGTACTTGGTAGGCCCGAATTGTTTCGGTTTGGCTCAGTTCGCTTTCATACGGGTTTGATGTCATTTCACAAGAGGATATAAAAGGCTAAAATACAAAAAAATTACATCAAATGTTAGTGTCACGACACTTTCATACCTCATCTTTTTAAAATGACAATGTCATACCTCAACTTGCGAATTTGTGTCAATGTCAGATCTCTATCAGTTTTTCTGTTAATTTTTCTATTAAGTGCTAACGTGGCTTAAAATGGGTTCCACTCCTTAGTCCAACTAGATTAAAAAATAATTAAATATATTTTTAATAATTAAATATTATAAAATTAAAAATAAAATTATTTTTTTATATAAAATTGTGGGATCCACCCTCTATCTCTCTCTCCTCTTTCTCACGTCTTTCTCCTCTCTCACCTTTCTCTCTTCTCTCTCTCTGGACAGCATCATCCCCAAAACCTAGAAACCCTTCCCACCCTTCCCCCCCCAACCTTCATCCACCATCATCTCTAATCTCTCTCTCTTCGCTGGCCCGGAAATTGACGAAAGGTCAACACTTTTTCTCCCCAATGCCACGAACTCCCTATCCTCCCTCACGAAGCTACTGTGCCTCATGCCGTCGGGAATTCTGAAGCTCGGATTCTCCGCCACCAAAAACCCGTCGTCGGATTCCCCGACCCCTTCCCTGCAACGCCACAGCATAAGTGTCGGAGCCCTGACCCGAAGAGAGCAAAGTCAATTTGGGCAAAATCTGCACCTGTACATTATTATTGGCTTTAAAATCTCTGTCGTTGATTTGAGCATCAAACTATAAAGAGTTAGGATTGACAAAAAAGCTTGGAACTCTTGGACGTCGTCGGTCTCGGGGTATGCAATGGCGTTATCTTCGTCATCTTCATCGTCGGCTTCCAGGATGGGGATGATCCGAGACGTTGGAGAGAGAAGAGACTCTGGGTGATGGCGTGTACTCCATTATTATCTTCTTCTCGACTTCGGCGGGATTGAATTTGGGTTTCTACTTTGGGGTGGTTTGGCTTCGGACGATGTCGTTCTGGGCGACATTGTTATTGAGGTTCTAGTGGATGGGGGAAT